GAGTTCTGTTCTCACTGATTTCTGTTTTTGTCTTCATTTTGGTTTATTTTGACAGGAGGCTTGGCGGGGTGGGATGACTTTGTGACATAGGGGAATAATTTATCTTGTGGTGGATGCTGTATTCTATTCTCATGTGCTGTTCCGGCAAAGTATGATTAATAAAAATATGTTCGCCAAAACAAAAGAGCAATTTAAATAGATTTTAAAAATGGATCTAAAATGTTTAGGTTGAAATTCCAGCAGTGAATGACATGATCTAACAGTTGTATGTGAATTTTAGGCTTAAATGTTCTGCACTAAAGTACTACACCAGAAGAACTGCACCCTTTTAGGCTTGAAATGATAGACTATGAAACCTGATTTAAATAAACTTCCAAAATGCATTATCCCATGCTGAAAAGAAAAGAAACAACCTTTCAGCTTCTTCTTTAGGTGGGAAGAAGGCTCCACAGCCTGAAGAAGGCTCCACAACCAAAAATGTTGTGTTTCTTTTCTTTTCAGCAACAAACCTTTACTTGTTCCTTTGTAGTCTACGCATGCTGACACAGCTCCCTACTTGAACGTTTTCAAAAAGCATGGGCAAAGTCTACACTGAGGACTTCTCAATCAACAGTGAAACACAAACTAGAAGACTCAAGTAAAATCTAGCAGAAAATGGATTTAAAACTCAGAACATGAAGCATTTTATAATATATATTGTAAAGCTCAAACCGTTTCAGAAACAGTTCTTAAGTCACTGTTCTATACAAGGTGCTAATAAAAGTGGCACAATCTATTTGGTAAGCTCCGAAGTACTGTAGGTAAGTATAAATAACTTAAAAACCGTTTAGCTACTGCCAGATTCAGACTGATCTATTTTGAAACTTTAGATGTTAGTTTCTGTCTCATTTTCTAACAGCGCTAACACATTCGGCTCAGTAAAATGATGAACGGATAGATAAAACTACTACAGAGCTGGCCGTAATAGACTCTTTGAGAATATGATGTTTTCTCATGGGTTGAATGTCTGAATGAAGAGGGTATAACAATTTGGAAACCATCTGTAAATAATTTTTATGATTCAGATTGAAAGAGGGAAAACCTGGTTAAATATGTAATGTCTAGTATTGTCAGATGCCAAGGAACTATGTGTGATATTGAGGCCAGCCTTCAGCAATAATAACAACCTATATTTTATACATACCTTTTCATGTGAAGTTCCCTTAGCTTCTGTACTGCAGGGAGATGTAAAATGGAGGAGGAATAACTAAACCAAATTTCACAAAATATGAAATTTAATTTTAAAACACCTTTAAAATAAAGCTTCATTAGCTGTTGGCTGATTATAGACAACTGCCCATCTCTTGACTGTTGCAGGGACTGTACATTGAATAAGAAGAAAGGCAAAAGGCAAACTAAAATACGCTGTCAT